GCCAGCGCTCAAAATCCCGGCCAAGTGGGGATTAACCCCCTGCACGGAGGCACCATGGCCACCCCAGGTCTCGCACGGTCTTTTGGGGCTGTGTCAGTGTGAGTGTGTGTGGGGCAACCGTGGCCATTGGGAGCACTGCCTGGGGACTGCCCCTTCCAAAAAACCACCTGTCCCTGGAGGGGCTTTTGCTCCCTGCCCCTGCTGATGGGGACTCCTTGCCGCAGCCCAGCAGAGCCCAATGGTGGGGGCTCACGTGCCGGCCCCACTGCCGGGGGCTGCTTCTCTGACACCCCGCGTGTCCGTGGGGGATGCTGACCCACCATGGGAGGTGGCGTCTCGTGCTGGGGGCCAGGGGTGGACGTTTGGGCTGCCTGTCCCGGGCTGCTGGCAGACTTTGTGTGTGACTGTAGGTGGGTCACACAGCAACTCGGTGACTTGGTTCTCCCACCTGTAAGATGAGGCCACCGGCACTGCCCTGGCTCCCAGTAATGCTGTGAGGTTGGATAGGTCATGGTGTCTCGGGTGCCTGAATGGAGACGCTGGCAGAATATAATTATTTCACAACCATACTCTGAGATGCCAGGGGCCTGGCACTGGGATGACGATGGAGAAGCAACTATGTCTTCAGAAACAACCCCTCCCAAACACTTTTTTATGTACGCTTCTCTGCTGGCAGGGAGAGCGGCCACAGACAAGCAGACCATGCCACCAAGCTGCAAACACTTTCCAGCTCCCTGTGAGATCCCCAGATCTCTGCCACATGTGTCTCCTCTGGGTTGCTGTTTGTTTATGACAGATGAAGCTGTTTCTCAGTAAAGTAAGAGCTGGAGTGCCTGGTTTGCCAAAGGGCCCAGAGAAATCTTTCAAAGTGCAAGACAAGTCCCCCTGCTAACCCTTCCCTGGGGACCCCTGTTCAGGGGAGCCTGAGATGCTCAGCCCCACTGGGCATGGGGCTGGAGTGGAGGAGGCAGGAGGAACACCCAGTGGGGTGGCATGTGGTGGCTCCCGCAAGGACTGGAGTCCAGGAGCAGCTCTGGAAAGATGACTCATTGCTCACAGAAAAGGTATAAACGCTGTGAGATTATCTTTGTTGCTGCTGAGGTCACGCTCAAAAATGAAACTCTCAAAATGAGCAACATCCCTATGGCAGCATAACTCTGCGTGTATGTACTGGTAACTGCATTAAAAGGGCAAAGCCTCTGCTCGCCTGTTTGTGTTTTGTTCACCAAATGAACCAAATCAGCTCTGCCCAGCTGATTCCAACTTGCTTTTCACATTCTCGAAGGCCAGGGCTGCTTCAAAATATCTTCAGAAAAACAACTGCGCCTTCCTCTTTTTCATCAGCATGAGACCATTCCTACTCCCTTAAATAGCAGTCCTATTTGAGAAGTGACACTCAGATGGCAACTGGGGAGTTTCTGTTCCCCATCGCAGAGCGGCAGCCCTTGCAGACACCTCACTTCGTAGAGGTCGCGGTTTCCTTCCAGCTGCCTCTCTGGGGGTCTGCAGAGGTGACCGAGGGACTTGGGATGATCTCTGGCCTGGCTGCACGGGTGAATTTGCACCCCGATGCAGAAAGATACACGAGTAACTCCTTCGGGGGAACTTGAGCCGGGGGGTTTCACAGAACCTGAGCAAACCCCATTTATATTCAGATTGTGCTCTGAAATGCGGCTCAGACATCAGAATAACCCAGTCTGCAGTGGATGATACATGGAAGAACAGCCTCCAGATGAGCAGATGGTGATCCAGTGACTGGATAGTGTCCAGTCCAGTCCAGGTGACTGGGTGGACACATAGATGTGTCTGGACATCTTTTTAATCACTGAGGTCAGCAGCAGAGACACACAAAACACACTGGGAATGGATCTAATGCCTGATCTACACCAGTTTCGTAATGCTTTACCTCTAACAGACTAAAGACTGTGGCAACGTAGCTCCTTCCAGAACTTCTCTGGCCACATCCATGCCACAAGACAGCAGGCTGGCTTCTAACGAGTCTGGTCACACCAGCACAAACTCCTTGAAAAGCACTGATGTGAAAACACCTGCAATCTTTACTTCTAGTAACTAGAGTGCTGTGGATAAGACAAGTGGGTGCAGGTCTGACAAAATATTTTTTGACCTGTTGGTCCTCTGTCACCCTTTCGCAGCAGCATGCTGTCGGGGAGAGGGCACGGGACTGCACTTATATCCTCCTCTGAGTAAGGCACAAAGTAAACAGTGAGATTAGTGAGAATGTCCTTGAAGAAGCTGTTTCGTTGGCATTTGTACCTGCAGCTTAGTCACGATCCACAAGGAAATCTGGACTTCAACTCGAAAGTAAAATTTAATTGGCAAATGCTGCACTGAAATACGACTAAATGATTTTTTAGTACTTGCTTCCCCTTGACAGCTAACCAGAACCCCCTAAAGGCAGCTTTTCCCCACATCTTTTGGTTGTGGGTTTGGAGGTGTATTCTGCTCTGAGGCAAATTAGGCAGGCATTTCAGAAGGAGCAAGACCAGAGCCCTGCTTCTCAGGGTGGTGTTACAATATACTCGGCAACGCCACCCCTTCCTTGCCTGCCCTGCAAGGGTTCCTCTCCACAGAGCAAAACCCGGATCTTCTTCAAACAGCGGTACTCTTTCTACTGCTGTATGTTGTGTTTGCCCCAAACACCACACCACTTCCAGTGACCCACCCCTCTGTCTCGCATGGTTTATTTTCACACCTACAGAGGGGCAGGTGCTTTGCAAATAACAGACACATTTAAAAAATACTCCTCAAGTATACACTCAGCTGTAACCTTGCTTCTCACTCACAAAACAAAAGCATATCCACTAAAATTAATGGACTAGAATATCCAATTTAGATTTTTTCTTGAAAGCTTCTGTTGATATCTCAGTTATCATGTGTTAGCCCAGTTCTGCAGAGATCCTTGATCCCACCCCCCCAGCTCTCACAGGGAAGGAGATGGTAGAGAGCTGCCACAGGAACAGAAATCATCCAAACCCAAAGGTATTTGCGTTGGTTAAGGTTCTGCAGAAGATTGAGTTCAACCCAATTTTAATTTGTACTAAATTTACTTCACGCTATCCCTTAATGTCCAATTTGAAAAGCAGTTTCGGTCAAATCAGGGAAAATAATACAAGGGGTTATTTTCCAAAGCAGCTCCTTGGTAGAAGCTGCTTCCATCTAGTAAAAATAGCACAGTAATGATAGTAATAGGGAGACTTATCTAATAAATAGTAATAAATAGTTCAACCTATTGGTCAGGAAAGCTTTCCCACAAACGCCATGGAGGAAACTGTCTCTTTCCATTCTGAAGTCCATAAAATTACTTTTTTCCTCCTCAGCCAGGTCCTCATGGACATGATTAAAAACAAACTCTGCGAGCAGCTTTGCCTGCCAGCAGTGGCGATAGGGAGAGGCAGGGGGTGGTTCGCAGGGCTCCAAGGTTGATCTTCGATCCTCAGCAGTGCTGTTACTTGCCAAACACTTGCTTCAAAGAGAAGGGCACAGAAAAGATTTTAAAAACATTGGGGTAAAAGTGTTTGCAGCATGTGAGCCTCTGTTGAAACATCTCTGGCAATGCGTTTGCTGCTTTCCTGTTGCAGTGACTTACTGCTTCCCCCTGATAACGAAGTAGAAACTAGATTCTTGCCAGACAGGAAAAGAAGCTGGCAGATACCTCTGAAGTGTGCTGAAGTTGGTAAAAATCCCAGCCTTGCTCTCCTGTGCTCACAGAAATGTCCAGCACACCTTAGGATGGAGAGACTGTCATGCTCTGAGTGAGGCATGTATTTGTTATGCATTTACACAGGCTTGGCATATGCTGCTGCTCAGCATTATTTGCTACCAATTGTAAGGCGAAGGAGATAAATCTATTTACCTTCAACATGAAAGGCAGCAACACAGAAGGTGTGGCGGTCTGAAGCTTCCTCAGGAAGCTGCTACCCAGGAACTGAGCCACCACAGCAGGCTGAACCCAGAAAACAGCACCTTTGCAGCCCTCAGCATCAGGATGGGCTTTGCCACAGGCACATCTGAGAACAGGCTCACACCTTCAGATATTTCCT